AGGGCCAAGCAAAATGTGCTGGAGAACTACCTCCTCGTTGGTGTCTTGGAGGAGCTGGAGGATGTTTTGCTAATGCTTGAGAGGCTCTTACCCCATTATTTCTCTGGAGTCCTCAATATATACAAAAGCCCAGGTGGGTGCATCCATGCTGATAGATTTCAGTAAAGGTGATAGCTACACATTGAACTTTAAAATTAAGGCTTTTATTCTGCACCACTCTAAACATTCGGCGGATGTATTTTATTTTATTTTTTTATTGTTTTGATAAAGAAGTTGTAGCTGTGAACTTAAAGCTTATTATTATTATTTAATAAAGACAATAAAGCGTTACAACTTTAGATATAAACTGCAATTCATATGATCAATTGTGCATTTTGATTGAGTTAAAGGGATAGTTCGGGATTTTTGACATGAATCTGTATGGCATCCCCATCACCAGTGTCATGCAATCACACTGACTTACCCCTGGCAGCATCCTGTGAGCAGAGTTCTCGTCCAGCTTTGGTCAAGACGAAAGTAGTCCTGCAGGTTTGATGTTTGATGAAAGTTGAGCTCGCTGTCAGAATGACGGCGCACTGATACGAACAGAGAGAAAATAGGACCAAGTGATAACGACGTGTGACTTTTTCCACTACAATGTTTTTGGGATGCAAAAATATCACTCTTTTGAACACATAATGTTTTGGGAAGAGAAACGTTTTATTTCGCTGGGTCTAGCAAACCTGCCGGACTACTTTCGTCTTGACCAAAGCTGGACGAGAACTCTGCTCACAGGATGCTGCCAGGGGTAAGTCAGTGTGATTGCATGACACTGGTGATGGGGATGCCATACAGATTCATGTCAAAAATCCCGAACTATCCCTTTAAGAAATGTTGTTCACAGCAATAAATCAAGAAAGTATCCAAAAGTAAAAATAAAAGGATATACAGGTAGGCAGATAATAGGATGAGCATACTTCATCTTTTCCTGTGTTGCTAATAAATGGCCAAAAATCGATTCAAAATGTTCACTTCAGACATACATTGTTTTTATGACAGCAAAACTATTCTCTTCTTTTTAAAAGAAATAATAGGGGTCCCTCTTTTTTTTTTACACATCATTATCCATACATGGTTATTCAGGTTGGGATCCAAATAGCTCCTTTTGTGTATGTAAATAAGAGCATTACTAGTAAAAAATGCTTATAAAGTAGAACAGAATATTGAATTTGTATTTTCTGGCCTATTGTATAAACCTCAATATCTTTTTTTCTTGTCCTTTCTCTTTCAAAGAATATAGAAAAATGGGGAACTTGACCGGTACGGTCCGTAAGCATACTCCTACTCTGGAGGCCCTGCAGGTTCTGTACCACCGCATGCGGTATGAGTACGAGTTCTACGACTTCATCCGTGACCAGTTTCACCTCATGAAGAGGAAAATTGGGCTGAGGTCTGTCTCCCGTCCTCCGGCCTACCCGCCTGATTTCTTGCGTAAACTGGCTCTTCGGACACCAGAACCTTTGGATGAAGATGAGGAGTTGGACTCAGACCTTGAGGACGCCAACAGCTGGCTGGACCATCCCTGATGACTGTGTACACAGGGGATGAAGCCAAATAAAAGATCAAGCTAAAACTGCCTAAAGAAAGAATGAGGCAGCCAGAGGAATAGTGGATGTGTTATCCATCTTTTGGATGTCAGCACCTTTATTTTTGAGAATTCAGTTTTCAGTCTTCAGGCTCTTATTCTGAAAGGCCCAGCACTTTGGACTTGAGGAACTTAAAGAGACAAAAAAAATATGTATTTAAAAGCTGGCCGAGGACAGATGGGAATAATAATAAGCTCAAAGTATTTTATGATCTGTTTTTACTGGAGCATGTTGAGAGGATTTTCAGATCTTCATAGTTTAAATCTCCGGGAGAGATTAGCGGACAACTACGATAGGACTACTTGGGAAATACATTAAATGGTGGAGAAGACTTCAGAGACATTTCCCAATCTTTCATAAAACTGCTTATGCTATAAAAATCGATCTGTGTCGTGGATTAGAAACAAGTGCCATAATCTTTGTTTGTATTTTAGCTGTCCAGAACTTTTCTAAGTGCCAAATCTTAAGGATTTCCTGTAACCGTGAGACTGGAACCTTTGTGAGCACAATTGGTATCAGTTTTGAAATCAGTTGTTATAAGACAAGTCTATAACATTTAATTAAATTGCAAGATTTTATAAAGTATGAATGAGGGTTAAACCTTGTGCATCTATTATGAATTCAGAGAATTCCACCTAGATGTGCATGAATCACTGAGTTAGACTGTGCAGAGAGTATTTAAGAATAGTTTTGTTGTTTGGAAAGACCTCTCCTTGTCAGTATGGCAAGGTTATGAGTTGCATGCTAAAAGTATATTGGGAGCCTTATTTTAATTCCAAAGGTGAAAAAAAAAATCAAGTTTACCAAATAACAGTGTTTAGCTGTGATACTTTTTTTGACAATGTGTAAATATCCAGCAGTTTTTTTGTTTAAATAATGCTTTATGAAGATCTGCAGCAAAATGAGGGATTTGATCAAAACTGGACAACATTTTGCATTGTGCTTCTTTAATGTCCAAGGATATTGGCTTGCAAAGTACAAGAGAACTCATCCTACTGACCCAAACCTGATGTTTTTTTATTGTTGCAGTAATATTTTCAGTATTGTTTTTTTCATATCAATTTAATTTATTATTTTGTAATCATTTGCATTCAAGATAAAATTCTCAGGAAGGAAAACATTGTATGATACCTTCATCAAATGTATCATGTTATGTCAAGGTCATGAAGCTGCATTTGCAATGTTACTACAGGTGAAAATGACAAATGCATTCCATCATTTTACGTCCTTGAAATAAATGCCCTCAGACTTTTGCAGCTAATTTTTGATTGATTGTTTGACTTTATTGATCTCACAATGGAGAAATGTACACAGTGAATGTTGCAGTGTTAAAGTAACACTCAAGAGTCCATTAAATACCACTCTGAATTAGTGTGGGACCACATGTACTCTCAAAGTGTTACTTTAACACTCAAAGTGTTGCTTTAACAATGCAACATTTACTGTGTACTGGTTACATCAGTTCAAATAGTCAGGAGAAGAAGAAGGTCCCAAACGAAAAAAAAGGTGCATGGGATATATACAGTGCATCCACATATGGCAGCTTTTTTTTATTATTATTATTATAGTAGGGTTATTATATATGGGTTATTGCACAGGGTGTTTACATGGGTGTTTGTATAGATGGAAACATGGGTATTTATGTAGATGGAATACAATAATATGCCTGATAATTAATTTTTGCACAAATGAATAGCTGTCCTGCATAGACTCATAGCTCATCTCAGCTTACTAAAGCACCTCTTTGCAGCAAGACGCCCAATGTTAAGGCATTTATCCCCCTCTGCATGTCTGCCTCTTTCATCACAAGAGAAAACCTTTATACTACCACTTATTTTACCACTTTGACCTGAAATGTTGTCGTCCATCAACTTTAGAAAGATATTAGCTGAGAGCGAATTAATTTCTGCTGTTTAAAATTTTTCAACCTCTTTCATGATGTCAGGCAGGTTAGAATGAATCAGTTTCTTAATTCTACAGAACTGGCAGTGATAAAGCATGGGTGTGGCAAGTGAACTTAAACTCAAATGTCCACAAAATTGCTGCCTTTTAGTTTCCTGTTCTGATACAGAAATGAGCTTTATGCCCCATCTGTGGACAGAAGCGGTGGCTAACATTAGCAGGAAAATTTAAGGCTCAACTGTAGCCGCTTACTTTAAAATTTCCATCCTCACAAAAGTAAACACAGGTACACACAGACTTGCAGGTATTTCATGGGCAGTTTTCCACTCAGAAGCTGAATACAAAGATTTGCTTTATGTGTAGGGTGGAGAAGGGAGAGTGAACTTTCTGCTGCTTCGGTTTAACCTCGTCAAACAGGAAACAGATGAGAAGGTCACATTAGAGCTTAGAAATCATTTCACTTAACAAGTTTTTTATGAAACAGTCTTTATTTAGATTACTTTTGCTCTTCTCAGTATCACTGTAAAATAGTTTCCTGAAGCAGAAACATAAAACTGTATAACAAATGCTCTGTTTTCCTAAGGAGGTCTATATTATAAGTATTGTTCTTTTATTACAAAAATAGCAAAGAAGCTATTGGTGCAAAAACAATCATATGATTGTAGAGCTGAATTCTGAACACCATTGCTCCCATAATGCTGTCTTTGGACTGGAAACTATATATATCACCTCAAAACTGGAGTTTGTTCCTGGATTTGGTCCAAACATCTGGAGATTATATCCTGACCCCTGAACACACACGATGTGCATTTCTCCGAGTATATCTAGCATATAGACTGAAAAAACAATACAAGCACATGAAAAACTCACCTAATGGTTTCAATAACAGCTACAACTAACAAAACATACAAACAGATAGAACATATTTTAGGTTCTAAAGGTAAACACATCGATAGCATTATGGCCAAGGAAGAAATAAGGCAGTCAAAATTATGTTAAACTGTAATACTTTTAGTATCCTAGTTTCACAGTTGTCTGAATGCCCTGAGATGATTTAGTACCAAAAAAAACTTTAAAACAAAAAGGCACTTCTTATATTATGATACATTCAACAGTGCTAAATTGTCAAAAACTGATTTGTGAATCAATGAGTCTATTTTTTTTAAATTGGCTGAGTACAAATACCGGTAAGTTCAGCTTATTGGCATGGCTTTTTATCCTAATATTGAAGTCTTTAAAAATCTGCATCAAATACAAAAATAAGGCTAAAATTGATCTAATGCTATTATGACACATTTTCCTGTGGTCTCAGACACATACTTAAACATCACGCATACATACTCCATTGATCACACAAATAGTTATACATGTAAGTCAAAGATGTTAGGTTAAAATGTTGGTCACTTTGCAAAGCAAAATGTCAACAACAACAACAACAAAAAATAATAATAATTTCAAGCATTTTGTTGAAAGTTTATTTTTTTTTTTTCAATCCATTAAACCTGTGATTGTTTGCTTGTCTCTCATTCGTCAGTTTATTTTTCCTCCAAAATTTTGCCCTGGTTTCCAAGCAGCATAAAAGCTCAGGCCTTAGCTTCATGTTTGCTCAGCTCCATCCCATCCTCTGCATCTTTATCAGTGGCTGACTTCTTCTTACTGGGGTCACGTCCAAGAGCTTCTGCCTCTTCCAAGGTGGAGGGTAGAGGTTTGCCCAACGTCTCAGGTAAGAGCAAGGTCAACACACCAATGATGAATGCCAGGATTCCCACAATGAGCTGCAAAAAAAATGTGATAAAAAATAAATTAAAAGTATACCTTTAATTGAAAAAGCATAAAAATTGAGATGCCTGGAGGTCCGGAGACCAACATACAGAACTGTTGATAAAAAGATGACCTTTTGATGGTAAAGCTGTAGTAACTGTGATCATATTATCTAATCCGAACCATGGCTTTGTTTAGAAAAAATATATGTACTATTGAATGAAACATTTGTGAATTGCTGGATTTTTTCATATATTTAACGACGCGAGACAAAAAAGTAAAATAAATGTTTCAATATATGTAATAAAAAGAATTAATCTCATTCTGTTTTTTTGTTATATATTTTTTTTCTAAGAATTTAGATTCTAGTGTTGTGACTATAAAAAAAAGATTAACTAAGAAGATATTGTTTGTTTTGAGCCTTGGTAAAAAATTTGGCATAGACTGTTCCCCTACTTGTTGTCTGTCAGTGCTACTTCCCCTCAATGAACACTGACCACGCTACATGTACCTCGCAAGTTTGTACCTGACTTTCAAACGTACTTAATAAAGATACATTTGGTTGATAAATTTTATTGAGGGCTGCATTTAAATTTGCACATCATCCCTCCAGTATTTATGACATTCTAATGCTTAGTGTATTTTCTTTGCTAAGAAAAACATGCTAAATGGACTGTGCCTGATGTTCTACTTATTTTAGGGATGCAATCCGATTTGCATCTGGTTAGTAGATCCTTTGTGTTCATGCTACCATGTTTGCACATTTTTTATAGATGTAAAGCTTTAGTAAATCCAGCCCTTAGACTTTCTTTGAATAGTTTGCAGAAAGAATGAGAAGGTTGTGCATACCTGAGGTAGATAAACCCAGACATCAGCCAGGTAAACACAGAAAGGAGCCACCACACTGCCAACACGGCACATCATGCTGCCAGTACCTACTGCCAGGGACCTGCAGAAGGTACGTCCACAGTACAATAAATTAAAACAATTATCTCCTTATAAAGTGACAAAAATATATAACTAATTATTCTAAATAAAATATCTATAAGAGAATTGACATCAGTGCTACCATCTTTATCAACTGACTACAAGGTTCAGAGGCATCAAGAATGTTATCGGGGGGACGATCAGAGCTCTGATTACTGTATAATGTTTGGGGGTGTAGAAGTAGCTGTTAAAACAAGTCACAATTACATGTTTTTTAGCATGCTTGATTTTTTTTTTCTTACCTGATGACAGTTGGATAAAGCTCACAAGAGTACAGGTAGATTAGACCGAAGGCAATTGCCACAGCAAACTTTCCAATCATACTGAGAGCCACAGCCAGAGCGTTTATGTCCTGCAAACATGACAGAGTTGTTTTATGTATACATCTGGCTGCATGTAGATGTTTAGAGTTAAAACACTAATAAGCCAATGAGGTTTTGAAAAACAGCTTATCTAATCTGCTTCATTTGATTCAGTGGAACAAATCAAACTATACAACTGACTTCAAGTGTGTAATTTTTATATTTTCCATGAATTTGATTACCTTGATTTTGGGGTGCATTCATTTGGGGAACAAACTATTGTTTTTATCATGTATACTGTGACTCAATGCTTAACACAACACTGTTTAAAGTATAGCAGCATTCTGTGCTAAAGCAAAACATTAGCAATCTTTCTGTCAAAAGGGTTACTTGTGGAAGGTGGGAGTTTTTCTCCCTACTATAGGCACGACCAAATGTACCCTGAAAGTCTAAACATAGTGCTGAATGTACAGAAAAACCGTTGGCTGTCATTCCTAGTTTGAAAACATAGAACGGCTTTGGAAAACCACTAAGATAAAAACAGATGTTCAGCTTTACACCTCTTCGTTTAATAAAGTGCTGTTTTTTAAAATCAAGGTCAAAAAAAGTGTGATAGTGACTTGGCAGATTTTTAACTACACTGACAAATTTTTCATATACAGAAGCCGAGAGCGGTCGTGTCCCTCTGATACTTTTTCACAGTGGTTTTCTCATTATCTAACTTTTCTCATTATCTAATGATAACGAAAGCCGTTTTCTTGTGATAATGAGATGATTGTTGTGTGTTAAAACTGATTACATCCTTCAATGCCACAGCAGCGGGAGAGGATTTATAATTATAAGACACAGCAGTCCATGTGTAAGTCTGTAAATAATCCTGTGTTTAACTTTTATGCAACAACACGACGTTGGGGGTGGGAAGATTTGCTTCCACTTTGATTCATAACCAATTAGACCTATGCCTCCGGTGCAGTAGCGCCGGGTGTTTTCTGAACTGCCCCGCTGTTACGCTTGTAAGAGGGATAAAATGCATTGACCTCCAAAATGAGTCCAGATTAAAGATTTTCTTTAAAAAACAGTTAGATCTGTTTCTACCTAATTCAATGCAATCCATCAGTCAGACACCACAACCTGACAATGAGTTAAAAGAAAAAAGAAACAAAAAAACTGATTCTTTGCGCACACACGGTACTGCGACTGCACAACTATGGGCACCACAGGCATGGATGGACTGGGAATCCAGGGCTGTTGGCCAGCCTCATTCACTACTCTTACAGGTTAATCATCTCGTTATCTCAAGAAATCATAACTGTTTTATTGTGATAACAAGATAAATACATCATTATCTTGAAAAAACAATTCATTAATGAATTTTTAAAGTGATAATAAGATACTAAAAAAAAAAAAAAAGTCGAGCACGACCACTCTCGGCTTTCGTAGTCATAATTTCTACTTTTTCACCAATTTGTGACCAAACAAAACCATAAAAGGTTGCAATTAACTGAGGTTAGTTTGATGACGAATGAAAACACACAAGTTTGCCTTTTTCTATATGCAATGTAGATAACATGTAGTTAGAGTACACACAGAGAACTAAAAAACGTAATAAAAGTGAACTATATTTACTTGGAGGTACATTCTAACAAAATGTCTGCCGTCCCTTCGGGCTGCAAGATAGCTCAAGGGAGAATGATTTTCAGCACAGAAGGCTGTCTCACCTCTGTCACAGAAAATACCTTATTTGGAAATGTTGGCAGCCATTTGGAAATCCCAGATTGAAGGTATGGGACTGCATTGTTTACTATATATAAAAGGTGACCTATGTTTAGCCATAGTTAGAAGTTAAAGCCCTGATAATTACTAATATCAGATGCCCAAGCAAGTTTATAATGTTAACTTTGTAATTTTGCCTTTTTCAGCAAAAAAATCTGGGTCTGACACCTGCTGGCAAGCTGTATGGTCACTGCTGCGTGTCTAGTGACATCATTACAAAGGGTTAGCGTTGATGATGTCACCAGTGTGACAGAAATCAGGAAAGTAAACAATTGAGAGCAACATGTAAGAAGCCAGGGCGAAGTAAGTGTGCTTTATTGCTTCATTCTTTTGTCCCTCCAAATCCTTCTTACCAGTGCTGCACTATGTTAATCGGATGTAAGCAGAGTTGTTTTGTCTTGTTGGATTATCTTGTTAGACTCGCCCGATATTGTGACGTACGATCGTTGCACTCATTGGTATCATATAAATTAGCAGGTCGACACGGGTCTGATGTTCCCGCTGTGCCAATGGGAGCTTAACCATTTGAAGGTGGTGTAACCCGGGTCGTTTGTCGAATCAATGAGCTGTTCCCACTGCCACTAAAAAAGCTGATTGTTCGCGGTTTTAAACCGGTTTTTCAGCCAATGGAAAAGGGGTATATGATTTTCGTCTAGAAGTTATTATGCAGACATTTAACTAAGGATATTTTAGTAAAGCCAATATATAGTATTTGTGTTGCTATATATTCTTGTGAGTAGACTCAGAAAATATAGAAATATAAATAATATGCAACAAATTGTGTGTCCAGTTCCTACTGTTCAGTTAGAATATAGTCACCTCATGTCTAACTTGCTCTGTTCTAAATTGGTAGTCAAAGGTTATATTTACTCAAATGTTTAGTGCAAGTTGTTTGCTAGGGCAACCCTAAACATGAGTAATGTGGGTCAGAGACCAGAGTACAAACACATTTTAGACTGGAAGTTTTAAATATCATAGTAGAAAACAGTAATCAACCAGAACCTCAGAGCACTAACTTAAAACTAAGCAGAAAAAAATTAATAAATTGAAGAAATAAATAAATGTTGCATATTAATACACAGCTAAACCCCCCTTACTGCTTTGGTAAAAACATTTTACATATTGACTCTTTAAACATTGGTACAGGCATAGATTTGCCCCACAAAATGTTGCTGGATGAATCTACTAAATATTTCGAGGAGGCCTAATCAGTCACGTCAAATTACTACTTTTAGTAACATTGGAGCTTATACTGTGCAATACATCTGCATACGTACAGCAGGGACCACGATAATGAGCATGCAGGCAACCCCAGCCAGGATTAGAGCTGGAGCACAAGTCTTCTTCCTTCCAATCCGGTCCATTGCAAAGCAGCCAATAAGATAAGAGGGGAGTTCCACTGCACCTGGAAACAACCAGTCACAGCAGCCATGTGGTCAAAGGTTTGTCATGCCACTGACATAGTGATATTTAATCCAGCAGATCTAAATAACCAACTGATGTTTGACTAGTGGCAGAGACTTCAAGGTATTGAGAGAAGGCCCAGAAATACAAGAATAAACAAATCTGTTCTCTTTATTTTGTTGTTTAAAATGAAAAACAGTAATTAAAGGGGAGTGTTGGCCTAGTGGTGAGAGCAGTGCGCTTGTGCTCTGAGATGGTTTGCTCCCCAAAGGAATGGGTTAAATGCAGAGTTAATTTCTCCATTTTGACATCAATAAAGTTCAATTTCTTCTTCTTTTTTTTTTAACCAAACAATTTAAGTCCAACATAACATGGCAAATAAGTTCAAACATTGAAAGAAGAAAGAAACTAAAAGACCAATATTTTTATATTCTCTGAAAGTCAGTGAAAACTATGATCAAATAAACTGAGAAATAAGATTTAGTCAAGGAACAGTTGTCAGTACACCAAGTCTACTTTTTTTTTGAGAGACGAAAGCTCTGTTTTTTTGTTTTTGGAAGAACTGGTAGCTTACGTAAAGAGATAACGAGACCTTGGAACGACCCTTTTCTCTGAGAATGAGATAATATGAGCAGTGCATCTGTGATCTGTTCGAGAAATCTTATTTCCTTTACTAGATACGATGCGGAAACCATTTAGCTGAGGAGACTTTTTGTACATTTCTGGCTCCGTTACCACACAGCTGTAAACAACCCTAACTTGGACAACAGCAGCAGTTGTTCTCACTCAAACATCATAGAACTATTGTAGTGGAAAGTTTAGGTACCACTGACTAAAACTATTGTAAACATGAACAAATTAAAGAAAAAACACAATATTCTCAACATTTTGAGAAAGAGCTCCATAATTCATTGTTATTAATACATTTTTTTTATTCCCATTCATATTTTTGTATCTAGAAGTATTTGATTTTGATCTGGACATAAAAAAATGGAGGCCATTTTGTCAAATATTCGTGTAACATTTATGACTTATGATTTATGAGGATAGCTTTATGTCACTTGAAATGCCTTCCACTTTATCTGAAAAAATGGCCATATAAAAACATCTATTTGTTCATAACTTTATTTTTGGAATTTGCGGAGCTGTAAACTATACAACTTGCAGTGACATCACTGTTATATTCGGTTTGTTTTGGGGTTTTTTTGCATGTAAAGACTACCTAACCTGCAAGGATTTTAATCGTTATAAATGCAGATTAAAGCATTAGTATGAGGTAACATGATTGGTCAATTTTGGAATAATTTAATGGTGTAAATTCTTTACAGACAGATGTTTGGCAGTGGGAGGTTTCTCTACCTTTATATATTATATACTGTGTGTGGAGTTTTTAAATTCCATCTTATATTTTGTATTATTTAATATAACTATGGTGTGCTGTTATTTGCTGAAAAAAATGTCAGTCCCATGATAGACATCTGAAAATTATGGCTCTTCAAATTTCACTTTGAAACCAAATGTAGATGTAATTTGGACATAAATCATGTTTTTTTTCAATGTTTTTTCAGCCAATTTTTGCATGGTGAGAAAGGTCTTACTTTATTTCCTGCTTCAGGAATGGCCATATTTACTGTATAGTAAAGTCTACTCCTGTAAATGTACTTACTTACTCCTGTAAGTAAATTTGTATCTGTATAGCATGCATTCTCATATCTTCTTGAAAAAAACTTTGACCTTAATCTAAATAATTTATTAAAACAAAAAGGTGCCTTTTCTGTGCAAATTTAAATCTCCCCAACAGACACTCACCTGCCAGGAAAAGATTGACATACTGGTTTCCTCCCAGATTGACTGAGCCTAGAGAGAACACATAGTAGCCCAAGCTGCCAATGAACCAGATGGCCCACACTGTGCATGTACGGCCCACCATCCTCCAGCTGCCAAACAGGTCCAGGAAGGATAGCTTCTTCTCTGACTGCGCAGGCTTCTCCTCTCCCTCCTTCTCTAGCAGAGGTTTGCCGTTCTCCAACTTCGCCGGCTCCAGGAGATCCTCCGCCTTAAGTCGACACTCAAGCCCGTTAAAGCGGGCTATCATGTCCAGCAGGGCTTGAGTCTCCTTGTAACGACCCTTGGCCATTAAATAGAAAGGCGTCTCAGGGAACTTCCAGCAAAAGAGCAGGAAGGGTGAGGTGCATACGGAGAGGATGATCTGGTAGATCCACCAAACTCGGACTAGGTAACCGGTCAGAGCCACCACCATGATGCCGACAGCAAAGGCTGCATGGATGTGCATGGAGGTCCATGTTCGCACCTTGCTGCCAGTGAACTCCGTCACATACACAAATACAACAACCAAGTAGCCGCTGGACACCTATCAACAACAAAGAGAAAGGAAGAAAGGGGAACATAACAGAAGAAATATTTTAACAGTTATCACAGTTAAAATGGCAGAGTAAAAAAAAAAAAAACATTCATAGGTTCCTTTTGATCCTGCGTGGCTAAAAAACGTCAACTTGTTAAGCGTTCAAATGTTGTCCTCTCTTTTAGACCCCATAGTCAACTCTTTGAAGTATAAATGACCTACTGTACTGCCACTACTCTGAGCTTTACACTAGAATAAAGCTCAGAGTTTAAATAAATGCAACTGAAAACATCTTAAAAACATGCTTGATTTTTCCTTAATTCTCTAAATACTAGTAACAAGTTCTTTTCTACCATAGGAGGTAAAGCCCTTCAAAACATAATGGCTTTTTTTATTATGTGACAGTACAGCAGTCAGTCTTCAAAGCCGAACTTCACGGCTATAAAGCTGTGTGGTTACAGTTGTGAGTATTTGAACGTCTGTTTTTATGTGAAAAACAACAGCTGTAGCTGATGAGGAGGAGAGGGGAGCACTGGTAGAATGAGGCTGACGTAAGATTTCCCTCAGTGCAACTTACTGCCATGTGTGTCCCAGCCTTTAGAATTCTTGTTTTCTTGGGGGTAGGGGGGCATGCACATACTGTGAATTGTAGAAGTTAAATGTGCCGAACTCTAAAAACGTCCTAGCATATAAGATTCTATTTAATCTTAAACATCTTGCATGTCACCCAAAATAATGCATGGGCCAAACCAAATACATAAATAGCAGGGTTATATTTTGTATGTTGTCACATAGATGTTTGGTCCATGGGTAGGAAAAACTCCCCATCTCAATGTGAGACTAATCTGCAAAACACTTATTTCACTCACATGGTGGCCAATGTACATGTGATTCTGCTGTCTTGCTGAAAGGATCCATGGTTATATAAGGAAATACTAATAAAGCAGTGAAGAAAAACAGGAACAAGGATTAACAATGTAAGATTATATATTGCAGCATTTACAAAGAAATATTAAAAAGATGAAAATTACACTCGGGAATTAAATATAGATTTATCTATATTCCAATTTTATTTTTACAAGATTTCACACATCACTGGCACCGCCTTGCAAAGATCCTCTGAACTCTTCATTATTTTTCACAAATATCACAGATGACAAAAAAGATGTTCTTTTTTCCCATTTTTTGAGTGGACTGGATTTTTATCCAAAAATTTTACTCTGATATAAATAAAACAATGTGCCACCAATCAACCAACTAAAATTTACAAAATTCTTTCATTTCAACTTGAAATAAAAACAACTGTTCCATCACAATCTTAGAGATTTGTCTGAGAACATTTGTTAACAAAAGGTACATAAAAAAATACATATAAATGGATTCAATGTTATTGTGTTCTTCATTTGAGGAACAACGAACCAGATAACTCAACATATACTTCCTGTTAGTCTGGTGGCAACACTGCCAAGCTTTATCTTGGTTTTCTTCCTTACTTCCACCACAGTGTGGTAAAACCAACATTTCCCAACCTTAAAAGGCTTTTAATGTTGTGATACTAAAGTTGACCAAATGTGAGCTGAATTTACATACACGGAACAACTGGTATTTTCTAGTAAACCCTGAACTTACCATGGCGAGCAGAAAGCGAAGCACCACAAAAAAGTAGTAGTTCAGGGAAAACGCCACAGCGACCCCGAATCCAAACTGACACAGGCTTGTGAGCATCATGATCTTCACACGACCGAATCTTTTGGAGAGACAAAACCAAAGAGTGGAAAAGGGATTGGACAATCAGCATGGACAGAGCAACTGATTCAGTTCAGGTAAGAATATTAGCATTTACTGTGGGGTGGCCAGGTTCAATCCCTACATGCTTTTACTCTGGGTCCCTAAGCAAGAGCCTTTATCCCCCTGTTACTGCTATCTGAGTGGTGGGTTATGAAGTGGTCAATAAAAAAAAACACACTATATATATAATATATATATATATATATATATATATATATATATATATATATATATATATATATATATATATATATATATATATATATATATATATATATATGTATATATATATATATATATATATATATATATATATGTATATATATATATATATATATATATATTTTTTTTTTTTTTTTTTTTTTTTTACACATATCCGTGTGTGCTCATGTGTTTGTTTGCAAAAACTAAATACTCATCTCAATGGAATACCTAATTAATTATTTCATGCAACAATGCCGTTATTACCTTTTTCTTAATTAAATTTTTTGGCAGTTCAAATTAGTTACTAAAATTATACCGTATTTAAAATTGCTTTTAAACCTTGCAAATATACCAGGAGGCGATAACATGGAGATAAATTTTTTTAATAATTTAAATGTTTCTTCTGAATATAACTATATTATGTAAATTCAATTGCAGTTCGTGTTTTCCTTAATTCAGTTCATGCTTATGGTGAAGTAAAGATCCACACCCATCAAGATTAAGGATCAAGACAAAACCAAGACATTTTGAGGCCAAGACCAAGACCATTACCTTATATGGCCGTGGTCTTGGTCTTGTCCTCTAAAGGTCTTGGTCTGGTCTAGGTCTCGATACCCCTTGGTTCGTCTGGTTTGGTTTTGGACTTCAACACTAGTTCATGCTTTTCTCCCAGCCAACAAAAAAGCTTTTTACACTTTTTTATCTAACCACAACTTCAAGTCACTTGTCAACATTGGCTGTTTTTTTTAGTTAAAAAAAAAAACATGGCAAAAGCCCAAGTTTGATTAAGCCAATAAAATCCTAACAATTAGAGAAAAAGTTAACCTTAAAGGAAGCATTTCTTCACTGGAACAATTCCATGATAAGTTCTCCCGATTCTGTGTCCAGCAACATGTTAGCTGAAACTACAGACCCCTGAGTACCTCTCTGGGTCTTACATATTTTAGTAAATTTAAAACCTTCTGCTGCCATTGTTTGATGAAAAGAGAAAAAAAAGCAAATTTTTTACTGAGGTAAGCAGGTTAATATTTCAGATTTTCTCCAAATCCCAGAACAGCATATATTGTTTAGTTTTTCTGCTAAATATCAGAATTATTTTATTTAGAATAGTGAAAATGTTTCAATCTAATCAAACTTCAGATATGGTATAATAAATCCCAAAAGCTGACAAAAGGTTAATGTAGGACCAAAATCGGTAAAAGGAGGTTTGGAAACTAATAAAGTCTATAATGATTACTTTTAATGTTTTACATGTCAGGTGAGATACTACTTCTAGATGTAATAAGAATATGGTTTATCTTAGAGGAACCTTTCCAAGAAAATAATTAGAGCTCTCTCAGATCTGTCAGCATGAACCCTTTTAAATCATTTAGCAGACTACATGCCAAGCAAGCACTCCTACAAATGCTGACCCTCCAATTCTCAGCTGTTTAGTCATGTCATTTTATCCATCTAAACTCAACCAGTGTTGCTTGAAACACTTTCCCTCTATTTAAATCCACTGGACTCATAAACAAGGAGTCATTTTAATGTTCACTTCATGTGAATATTTCATATAGAACTCAATAGTTATGTGTCTTGACTCCTTCGTAACTGTTTCTATTATCCTTGTAAAACAATGAACTATAATTCACAACAAACGTGTTTTAAAAAAAAAGATGTAAAATCATGTGAGGGTGTGTGGAATCAGCCATCTTTCTGTTCCCTTTCTGAAGCCATCACTCACCTGTCAGCAATATCCCCAAACAGCACTGCTCCAACCAGCACTCCAAGCATGAAGGTTGGCTGGCAAAGCTTGGCTAACCACTCCTTTTCACAGACTAAGTCCCAGTCTGTCACAATGCTTTGGTAAACTTCGCTGTGGTCGTAAACAAAGTTCCCACTGCATTCTTTGGTGGTTTTGTTGCCATTAAAGTCATATGTAAAGTTCTGAGGGGCGATACGCAGATCGCAGCTGCATTGGCTGAGCTCCCACTGTTCCCCCTCAGATGTTCTAACCACCAAGGGGCCACCAGCTGGTTTGATGAGAGGTAAGATACTTTCCAGAGTAGATCCTGTAGCGTTGCCATACAGGACATCGGTGATGTTGCCTGGCACGATGGACACAAAATTTGGAGTCTCGACCAGGAAAACCGAGGCAAGGTAGTGGATTCCACATGCTATGGCCTGGAAGACTGCAGCGAAATACAGACAAGCCTGGAACCTGGAGAGACATTAAAACATGAAAATATGATTATAGCATGATGTTTAAAATACATATAATAAACGTCGTATAATAGGTGCACACTGTTCCAGAAATCCTAATAGGACTATCTACTGAAAGGAATTCACACTGCTTTAACCCACTCAAGAAGTTGTCACATTATGACAGAAATTGTATTCTATAGTCTACTTCTGCAAAATAAACATGTTGGGTTTCCTTGCAAACAGATTACTGAAACATATTGTTTGCATTTGTGCTTCCCGTGTTTTCTCTGATAAAGATACGCAGTGGAGCTAATATCCATCCACCCATTTTCTGTCACGCTTAATCCCAGCTTGAGTCACATTTAAGGAGAATTTAGAGAAGCTAATTAACCTAACAGTCAATGTTTTTGGACTGTGGGAGGAAGCTGGAGTACCTATAGAGAACCCATGCATTCTCAGGGAGAACATGCAAATTCCACGCAGAAAGACCCCGGGCCAGGATTTGAACCCGGGACCTTCAAGTAGTTCAACTAATAGTTCAACTATTGGGGGCTCTATTTTTGATTAGTTTAACTATTAGCTTCACTAATTAGGCTCTATTTCTAATTAGTGAAGCTAATAGTGGAACTAATTAGAAATAGAGCCCCCAAGTGTAATTTAATTTAGGTTGTTTAAACTGAGCTGTTCTGTAAAGACTGAAGAGATTGGTCAGAAAAATTGCAATAAAGAGGCATTATGAAACAGATAGGTCTTAAATAATGTCATAAATAAAATATAGTTGTGGTTATAAAGCAAAAAAATTTTTCTTTTTCTTTTAACTAATTGCTGTTATGTTCATTATTAGAAGATTTAAAAAAAAAATCAAAACCACCCAAATCTACTGTCCAGGAAAAGGGAGCACTTATTAATGAGGAAATCAAAAACAACATATGTGTGGAGATGATAGAAAGATCTACAGCTCTATCAGGCCAAAGACACTTTATAAATCCATTAGAGGTTCATTACAATTCGATATAAATTATGTAAAACAGAAAGAATATGAGGCATCAGCTAGGTACTCTAATCAGACATGTATTATTGCAAACACACCATCCTCACCATGAAACATGGTAAGTGTTTGCATCCCCCTAAGGGGATGCTTTTATTGAAAACTTGAAAGCGGATGTGTTCCCAATCCCATCTGCTTGAGTTTTTGACATTATTTTGTAAAAGGAATAACAACAATATTTATGTTTAACGAAAAACGGATTCAGAAAGACTGATACCAAATATGTTTAACACTTTGATGTTTTTGATCCTGAGGTGAACAATAGTGGAAAAGGTTCAGTGACAGTTTTCTTAGGGAACTTATTAAAGCTGTTGTAGACAGCTGAACTGGAAACAGAAGTTCACATTTCATATTCATTGCTAAAATTCCCATTGCCACTGCCAAAATTTCAAATCACAACTTTAAAATGCTTTATTTGTCCACAAAAAATCCGACAAACGTATATATATATATAATATTTTTTTTATCAAGGAACAAGTTTTATCTAATTAAAAACATATGGAATAAAATCCCAGGATAATTGTAGATGAATGAGGTTAGGTTGTCGGTGTTTACTTTTTAAATAGCGTTATTAAGATGATCTGAACGTCATAATATATCCAAATGTAGCATATGGCTTTTATTAAGTAAGCAAAATATATATATGTGTGTGTATATTTAATCAAGAGCATTTTATTTACCTTTTGAAATGTCCATACTCGTCAAATATCCTTTCCACTGACATCTTGGCTCTTGCTGTGTTTGCGCCTTGGCGCTCCTGGTGCGTCTCTCCAGTTGAACGCGCTTAGCGCCAGTAATGATCACCGCCGGCTTTCACTTGAGGAGAGGAGGAGGGGCGCAAAAACACACACAGGTCCATATACTCTCACCGTTGAGGCTCGTTCTAACCGTTAAGATATGGGCAAAGTTTTTTCCTAAAAAGGACGATGTTTTGAATCGAATTCAGGGTTGCCATGAACCTGTTTATCTTATTTTACGCATATTTTTTTTCTTGATATAACCTACTCATAGTTCAAAAGCTTCATAAATGTTTCTGTGATGTAATCATGCAATGATCAAATCATCTTAAACTGACACAAAAACAGGAAGGTTTTGAAAGCACCCACCTGGTAGCGGCCCCTGAGAAATAAAACTCCTCCTTGTAACCCAACCGCTGAGCCCCTATTTTAGGGATAGTCCTAAGATGGAGCAGCTTCTCTTGTAAACATAGTGTTGAAAAACAACCGCCCTGTTACTCTAGGCGTCTTGGACTTCCTGCATAATGGTTTCTGTTGCTGCTACCCTTGTAAAATGAAATCACAGCTGCTGTAAATCTTTGTGGTATTTACAATGCATGAAGAATATTGATGGACAGCTGATTGTATGATCACTCACTCAGATGTCATTAATGTCCTTATTTTCTTCCTCAGCTTTTAAGTATGGTGAATTAAACTAGCAAAATATTTACATTCCATGACACTTTTTAAAATTGTCCAAATTACAATCAAAAGTGTTCATGCATGTTATTCAGTTAGAGTTATAAAGTAGAACAAAGAATACAGCATCATTGTACACATTTAATTTGGAATTGCCTTCATAAGTCACCCTAGGCAAATGTGGGCCACCTGTGTGTAATACAGACTTATATGAACTGAGGCTTAAGAAAATTAACATGGAACATCCGTTAACAAAAACATCATAGAGGACCAATGAACACAGCAGAATGGTCAGGAATGAAGATTTGGAGATATTTAAAGCCACATCATTAAACATTTAAAAAAGTAGTTGAACACTCCCACTCTGCAGAATCTGTTAGTTCAATCTCTAATGTTCTGCTCTCTCTGTTTTTCTTATAGTAGCTTTGCCTCGTCTGCTCCTGTTTGGCTGTGACGCCACCCTGGAAAGTAATATCAGCTGTGCTGCTGCCATCAACACCTTTGTTTAAACATCTTGGAGATCGGCCTGTTTTTCCAGTGTGTTCCTGTTTCTCTGATCGTGACTGGCTGGATGTCCTCTCTTCATCCTCTGACATGGGAGCTGGCTCAGAGCTCGTCTGCCTGGCTGTGTGTTTCCTGGACGGAGTCGCCTTTTACAGTTGCTTTTTGTATCTCTGCTTCTGTCTCCTTGAACCCCAGTCGGCCTCGGCAGATGGCCACTTACACTGAGACTGGTTCTGCTGGAGGTTTCTTCCTGTTAAAAGGGAGTTTTTCCTCTCCACTGTCGCTATAAGCACGCTTAGTGTGAAGGATTGCATTCGAGTCAATGAGTCGATGCTATCAACTGGTTTTCCTTAAATAGAACACTTTGAATCAATTTGACTGGATGATCTGGTGAACTGTAAAGTGCCTTGATATGCCATGTGTTGTCAATTGGCACTATATGAATAAACTGAGTTGAATTGAAATTGTCACTGGGTAGGTGGTAACATCATGATGTGGGGATGTTTTTATTTACCAGACGCATTGGTGTTGGATGGTGGGAAGATGAATGGAGCTAAATACGAGCAAATACATTTAAAAACCCTGTGAAAGTTTAGCAAAATGTTTGGGATTAAGGCATATCCCCATCAAATCTCACTATTCCTGGGATATTCTCTAGAGAAGAAGGGATAAAAAAAAGGTAGTTATCATCACAAATGTACACTATTTGGATACTATTTAGATATTTGTTAGGGAAAAAGAGGAAACCAGTGTATAATTGTTTTCCATTTTTACATTGTTTATTATTCAATGTGTGCCTTGGCTGTCACAAAACCTTGTACATGTATTGGTTTCATCTAAATTACTAAAAAATACAAATTAATTACACAGGATCAGGATACAAATCCAACAAGCCACTACTTTTTGTAGTCTATGTCAGTTTTTGCCTCTGCATTTACTCCTATTAGAGGGCTTTGATTAATGATTGATATGTGCAATAGTTTTTACTGTATTGACTCAGTGCATCTTGCTTTGGCTGGATCCAGCAGGATTGCTGATATGAACTGTGGCAGTGTGGTTCACATTGTTGGATGGAAAAGAAATAAAACGTGTCACTGTTGCCAACTGATAGAGGGTTTATAAATAGACTGTTGTTTAAAAAAAAAGTTTCTATCATAAACTGATCAACTGATTGCCAAAGTGCTATGATGACAGTTATAGTTTGGAGTGTTATTTTTCTGTGACATACATTTTAAAACATAACATTTTTACATGTGTCCACAGCCTAAAAACACATGTTTAATTCTACATGTTAACAAGCTGCTTCACCTGCAAGTTGCCTTTTCCCTCCCAACCCAACCAAGCTTTTTCTCATCCAATGTTTAATTACCCCCACTTCATTATTTGTCGGATAAAAAAAAAGTTGTTTGGTTGTTGTTGGGTTTTTGGGGGGTTATTAAAAATATTTTTTTCAAAGGGTTTTTTTGGTAGTTTCAACAATAACTGACAAAATTCTGTTGTTAAAAGACCAAAAAACAGTTTAAAATGGATTATTTGTTCTAAACATAGCACCATATCCCATAACTACTAAGATTTCAATAAATAAAATAGCAGGAAGACATTTCAGTTATCAGGCTCCTCTCGTTTGAACCAAACTTCAAATTTTACACTATGAGTCTTGTGTTGTTTGAGATTTATTTATGTTAAAAATGAGTTTTCCTTCCTGCTGTTGCTACATGCATTCATTGTATGAGAGATTATTAAAATTTCACAAACAAAATGCAAGTGACTTTCCATTGTTGCTACCATGGACAGCCAGGCTTCTTTTCAGTTATTGGTCTGTATGAGTTGATTAATTGACTGTAAAAAGCATTGAGAGTATATGTTTGTTAAAAGAAGCTTAAGCGAAAATCAATCTGAAGGACTCTTTTCAGGTTCACCTGGTCCACCTAGGTCCCTTTTTCAGCTTCAGCCAATCAACATCGAGACCGCACCTGCTCCGAAGCCAATCATATTTCAAGATCTCCTTCATTTAAATCCTGCTGTAGCTTCTCTCCCAAATAAAAGCGAATGTTCAGTTGTCAGCCTCAGTTCCTCATTTGTGAGCATCAAGCACTGTTGGCCATTCGTACTGATTTCCTAGCTCTGGCTCGGACTCACCACGATAGGTTCACGCAAGCCTGTCTCACGCTCACTTCATTCCATCCCGCTCCTGTTCCAGTCGCCTTCCATCCACTTCGACCTCAGCTTCTCCACTGGTTCCTCCACTCTGTACTTGCCAGATATCATTAGTCTCTTCTCCTCCTCCTTGCTTGTCAACCCCACTGACAAGCTTGACCTCTCCATCGCATCTCTCCACTCACCTGCAGGAATCCACAGCTCCGGGTAACCTCCAACTCCTCCATCTCCCACTCAAGCCATCATTCGACATGTGGATCGGTCACCCCCATATGCCTTCACCCTGGCAGATGCCAGTTATAATTCTGATGTATTTTTTCCAAGCCTCCTATGCTCCCTTTCAACCTTGTTCCTTGCCTCTGCATTGTCTTCTTTATCAAGACGAGTGTGCATTCTTAGATCTACTCATTGGTCCCAATGTGTACTTTTAAGAATGCGGCTCATCAGATTCATTAAACGTTTGAACTTCCATAAATGATCCTCATAAACACACTTAGCACATCTGTCCTCTTGGCGCATCTGAAGTGTACACGCAGGGCATCATCGTTGCTTTTCACCACTCAGTGCATCCTTAGCACTTCTCTTCCAGCTGTGATTTCTTCCCTACTTTGGTGCATCTTTAGGGAATTTTCTTCCAACAGCATGTTACCGTTAAGAACATCTCCTCTGCAATCATCACTAGATTCTCTTTTTTGGGCGAAGACCACTCTAATCATCAGGTAAGTCTCCTCCATAACCACTCCTTCCTTTCTCGCCACTAACTTCTTTTCCTTCGCTTCCAGGCTTGGCCTTGGCACTTTTTTCGGGGAAGACTACTCTAACCATTCTCCTAGGTTACTCATCCGAGCGAATGTAAATTTCAGCACCACAGTCTTTTGCAGGGGCCTGAGTGCCAAAGATCTTATGTCAATCATGTCAGTATCTGTATGTCTGCCTCTGTCTCTTTCAACCACACTCGGCCTCTGCAATTGGCCACTCACACTGACTCTGGTTATGCTGGAGATTTCTGTTTGTTAAAAATGAGTTATCCTCTCCTCTCTTTACATGCATGTCCGGTGTAAGGGATCACAAAGAGTCAATGAGTCCATGCAATCAGCTGGTTTTCCTTAGAGAGAAAAATGTTAACCAATCTGACCGTGTTACCTGTAAAAAAAATATTGAATTGAGCAAACATTTTCTAATTGCAGCTTTTCTCTGTGTGAGTGTATCCACATTGAATAGCTATAGGCCTATATAGCTGATCTGATTTGATTTAAAAACCATGTTTAAAATGTTGTTAAGAGAAGTTCTGAAACAATGATAATCTCACGCATACCTTTGCAATCTTATAAAACACAATTAAAAGGAATTTACTCAAAAATATACCAGTACCATTTTTCGGCAGCTACTTTCCAGTAAGTAGTCATTGCGAGTGAAAGCTTTGCTGTCCTTTTTCTGACATTTACCTTTTGTAGTTACTGTACATGTTTTCTGTAAATACAGAACCTGTAGAGGCAGTGTATCTCCCAAAAAGTCCAGTCAGCACTGCCCACAGCTTCATTTCAAAGTATTGCTTCATTCAATAGAGTATTAAATAGCACACAAGTAATTTACATCATTCATTGAAAATTTTTATGTTTAATTTCAATTTTTGGAACTGTACATTGTAAATAACAAAGTATGATCTAAAACATTGTATTCTTAGATAATGCTCTTTTGTGATAAATCCTCTCAGATGTTTCTCTCCAAGGATTTCAATGAAAAAACTCCAACAGCTTTTACTTTAAGATTTTGGATCTGTAACTGTAGGTTCTTCCAAAAGTATTCCTACCCCTTGACCTTCTGCATGTTTAGTCATGTTTAAACCATAAACTTCAAAATATTCAATTCTGATCACAAGTTATCAGTGGACAACTTAAAAATGTTCTTAATCATGTGGAAACAACAAAAGACAGTTTTACGTTTATAAATCTGAAGATGTCTGTCAACAACAATTTTCAGATTGTTGTGACAGATTTCAATTATGGCTTAGATCTGGACATTGACTGGGCCACTTTACTAAAAAATATGTTTTGATATGAACCATTTAACCATAGTTCTAGCTTGATGTTTAGCCAGATGTTTTACAATTTTTAACCCAAGTCTCAAGTATTCGTGCAGCCTATTTTAGGTTGTCTTTCAGGATTACATTGCATTTAGCTTGAAGTATAAGTCTGGTTTTACATGTTCCCTCGTGTTTGTGGGATCCTCTTCACGGATTGTGTTATGCTGCAAACATATCTTTTTAAGGCTTCCTTTGTAAAATTATTTTTCTCAAAAACACATTGTGGCTAGATTTCATGGTACTGTTAGTATACCAATGTACTTTAACAGTCGTCTGGAGAAAACAGAAAACAGCTGGATAAATACTACCATTCAGTTACACACAAGTTGGCTTCATTGTTAAAAAGGTGACTTAAAATGGAAGCGGTTTTTCTAATATTTAATTTAGCTGTATCAGAGTAAAGGAGGCAGAATGCAAGTGCATGTCTCTCTTTTTATTATTTGGATTTATCTATTTGAAAGCTCTTCCATGTATACAGGCATGCTTTTGTTAGGTCTTTTGCATTAGAACAGAGTTCTTCCTATATTTTCAACTTTTTGTTTTTTTACTTCGGTTACAAAAGTATTCTGCTAAATGTCATGTATGTGTTTCCATTTTAAAATGCATTACCATTTGTACATCTTTTTGAGATGTGACTAGTTAACCTTGTGTGAGTGGGCGATAACTTTGGCCCCCGCTGAGCGCAAACACAGTCTAACCTTCACCTGCTCCTGTCAAAACTGGTTGTTTCCCACTTCAGTAACGAGAGATTTAAAAGGATAAACATCAGAAGGTTCATCCAGATCCCAGTTTGCTCATTACTTGTATGGAAGCCTCGACTTTAACCTGTTCTAGTCCAGTTGAGTCCAGTTTGTTATGAAACCTCAGCACAGCATGCAGTGAGTATCAGATGAGTACTTATACTGCCATATCAGGGGTGTAGTATATGGTGTTTCAGTTCATTATCTTAAAATAGAAGAAATATTCTACCTTTTGTTTTGGTGTCACTGTAATGGGGTCTGTTTCACTTTTTTTCTTTTAAATCCATGAGAGATCCACTTTACCTTCTGGCCTCTAAGTTTACCACGTCAGCACTTTGCCTGATGGTATCTAATCTGCTATTACAACCTTTACTTTTCTCATGTAAATTCTTCTACATTGCGTAAGCAAAAAAGTCAAAATTTTTCTCGGCTAATATATAAGCATGACGGATCTTTATTCCATCAGGAATAGTTTGTATGAAGCTTTTTTTCAGTGCAGGACAGCAAAGAAGTTGAAGAAACTTCCAAAGATAACCGAATTCCTCGTCAATTTGTATTTAATCATTTCTGCCTTCCTGTATTCCATCAGGACAAAAAAAAAAAAAACACACACACACACACACAGACAAATGAACACAGTTGGATGTTCTCCATATGTTACATTCTTCTTTGAGAAACTTTGGAGCATGTTAGCATACATAAACACAGTCACATGTTGAGTTGTAGATGCAGCAGATTACATTAGAACGTGTTACAGTTCATTTCATAATGAGAGCCTGCACACACAGTCAGTTTATCTATTAAGATTCCTTTCTTGTGCTTTCGTAATGTCTGTCATTTGATACATTTCAGAATGAACTACACCCAGAGGTGGGTAGAGTATCCAGAATTTGGACTCAAGCATTACTTCAACATATTTTTAAAAGTAAAAATTTTGAAGTAAAAAGGAGCCTTTAAAGAAATTAGTAAAAAAGTAGCTGATAAAGAGGATAGTCAAGCACTGAGTAACAGATCTACTGACTAACCATGATCCTAACAAAATTTTATTTTTATTTTTAACTAGTTAACTTACAAAATCAATAGTTACAGTGTAGGATAGGTTTAATTACAGTAAACTGTTTACTACTGTTTACTCTATTTTCACTCAACCTCCAATTGAAAGCACATAGCAGATGGAAAAAAATAACTAATAAGTTTTGAGTTTAAAAAAAAAAACAGTGTCTCTCAGTGGTGCACATCTGTTGCTAAGTGAAGCTGCTCACAATGGATGAGTAGCCAGACATTTTATTCAAGTAAGAGTAGTGATACTTTATCACATAATTACTCAAGTAAAAGTAAAACGTGCAGTGCTGTAAAACTACTCCAAAAAGTATTTAGTTTTTCACAAAGTTACTTAAGTAAATGTAACTGAGTAAATATAACTAGCTACTACCAACATCTGACTACACTGAACTTTCACTTGCTTAAACAATGGGTTAATGCATTCCATGTGGAAACTAAACAAGTGCTAATATTTCACCACCAGGTGGCAGCAGAGTTTGCGGTTTCAATACAAGAAAATAATTTACAACTGATCCATGACATCCCAACCTATTCAATCATAATCTAGTTTATTAGGTATGTTTGAACAACTGTTCACCTTACTGGATTTTTAAACTCCACCTGTTTGTCATATTTCTAACAACATGGATGGATGAATGCAGAAAGCTGGTAAAGAGAAACTCATTGCTAAACCATAAATGCAATTTGATAGTGTTAAGTATTGTGCAACATGCAATCATGAGACAAGAGTTTATCAAGGCTGAAAATGTACTTGACAATCTGGAGAGTTAATGGAGAGGAGGAATGTTGCCACCATTGGTGTTTAAAATTGAGTCCAAGAGGGGTTCGTTTGGAAAGCAAAATAATTATCAGTGTATGAGGTGTAAGTGTGATAATCTTTTAGCAAACCTTTAAAAAGGATGAAGACAACAGAACATATTATTCCACTGAGACAGATGTGTGCTGATCGTTTTAATTTAAAACATAGCTGAAAGAAAATCCCTACTCCCTTTACACCGACCCTTTCACCACCGTAAATGAACTGCTTGAAACAACTGGAACTGTGACTAACAATTTTGGATGAGATCTCAAATTTATCTTACTGCCAGGCATAGTGAGAATTAAGGTAGGGGGATAATTTTAATCAATAAAGATTATTCATTTACACATGCAGCAATCTGTATGCACAACTTTATGTGAGCCCATTGGAGAATGGCAAAAGAATCTTCTAATTGTGTTCTTTTTTTCTTTAGATCTAAAATGACATGCAAACATAATATTTTATGTGTAAAGAATGTGAGTGACTCTTTGATAAGCCCATCCATCAAAGATTCAGCTTGATTTCTTATGCATCATGTGAGTAAAACCATTTATAGGTGTTTTTACTCATTTGCCCCAAAGGATCAGCCGCACAGAACATTTTTCTAAAGGCAACAAAGCTTAGTTGTTGAATCTTAACAGGTGGAAGAAATCTACCTCCTTCTCACACCCAATTATCTTGGATTTTAAAAACAGAATAAGAAAAATATATGTACATCTATAACATATTCCTCAATATAAGCGCTTTTATTGCAAAACAAAAACATACCTAATTATTCTTCGGCCAAAAGAAAAATAAAATGTCTTGCAAGAAAGAAACACCAAATTCTGAATCATTATCTCAATTTCTGCCAACTTTAATTTAAAACATCAACATTTTTAATCCATTCTGTCTTCGTCCACCTTTTTCTTTTTTTTGTACATGCTTTATAAAGAAAGCAGTAGACCTGGGAATGAATGTTAGGAATGTCTGCAGGGCAAAGTTGTTGAAAGTCAGGGGGACAACCAGCAGATGCTGAGAAAGTCTTGTTAAAGGCTTGAGCTGATAATTTGGCCCTGCCCATATCTGGAGTTATACAGAAACCCGAGATCCATCGAAAGGGGAAGGGACTCCAAGAAGGGGGAAGAGACACAGAGATGTGTGCATGTTTGTGTTAGCCTGATCGCTAGAACAAGGAGAGCATATTGGAGTGGTGTGTGTGCTTGGTGAAATTGCAGCTTGTGAATTTGAGGAGGGAGTTCCCAAACATTTCAAAGAGGGCTACACATGTGTGCACCAGCATCTGCTTTCAGAAACTCCATATTAAGATGAGCACAGTCCTGCAAGAGAGGATACATTCTTGTGAGTTTGGGTTAGAAGACAGGGGATCTTGACATATTAGAGATTCATTAACTCCCTTATTGATATCTGAAGAATGGAGGGAAATAGGGTAAAAGCTGCAAAAAGAAAGCAAAAGGAGTGACTTTAGAGTACCAGAAAGCCCAGATGGACATGTGTGGAGAGAAAGTCAGCCTGAGTTTGTTGCTTCGCTTGGCTGTTTTACTTATAGCTGTATGTTTATGCATTCATATTGTTTACCTGGAAACAAGTTGGCAGAGTTCTCCTCCACCCTTGACTTTGGGACGTCCCTCCCATCATGATCTGAACTGGAGTCAACAAACCAAGATGAAAAGTGGCTCTTCAAAAAAACTGGAGAAAACATATGAAAGCAGAAAGTCCTCTCTTTGGACTCTCAGAAAAAAGGAACATCCCCACCCATCGCCGGCATGCTGCCCACCACTCCATCCTCACAAAAAGGTATGGTTGATATGCACCATTAACTCATTAGGTCATAATTACTCTAATCAGAGTTCTTGTACAGTAATATCCAGTATCCTAACGCTGTTGTAACTGTAAAAAGTGGCTTAATGAGGAGCTTTTTTTTCTCTCTGTGAAACAATTTAAAGTAATTCCTGATGGCAGTAAAGAAGGGACTGTGAAGAGAAATAACATAACTTTAAAAACTAAAGCTATAAAAATGGGTCTGTCACTTTGCAAAGCTTCTTGGCTTTATTTACAAAGGTCCAAAATTTAAACAAAATGTATGGTTGTTCTCTTTGTGTATAAATAAATATTAAGATGTGTGGCATTGATCTGCATTAAGCTCACCCAACTCTTCATCATTTTTAGGTCTTTAGAATTTTAGGATTTTTAGGTCTCTGAAAGCATCATTTTAACCCATGAAAACTGATCATTGATGCTAAAATAGCCTCCCAAGATTTTTCTCCATTATGCTGCTTTTATCCTCCCAATAAATGCAGAATGTAGCACATTCTTTCACAGTTTTGCGTTGTCTTCTACACAGTTTGTGCCTAATTTTAAGTAAGTCTTTCTCTGTCTTTCTTTCATCAATGGTTTTCTTCTTGCCACTCTCCATAAAGGTCAGATCTGTTGATTGCAGAAATACAAAGGTTTTCCCACAAAGTTTACCACCAGATTGTTCATCACAGCAATTATACAAAAATTGATAATTTGGCTGCTTGCTAGCTTTTATAAACAATACTGTCCTCAATTGGCAGATGGCAATACTGTACCTTTAGAGGTTTGCAGTTGTGTCAAACTCAATCCATTATGCAGTGAATGACACCCAGTGAGTTGTTCAATGCCTTTCAAAAGGTTTTAGAACTGAACCCAAGTCTAAATCCCTTATTTAACCTTTGTGCTTTTTGGTTTTATTGATGATTTTAATTTCATTAAAACTTTCTTTTCTGGTCTTCCTTGGCCTTCCAAGAACAGCTAATTTATACAAATTTTAGATCCCATAAGAGTAGTCTTTGTTTAGTAGACAACTTTAAAAGACAGGTATGTATTATTTTCATTCGACTTCACAAAAAGGAACCGTTGTGAGTTGTTCTTTCAATAAAGGTTGTGACAGTACCATGTCAAAATATGGAACAGGTTTTGGGGTGTGAAAAACTTTAATCCGTTGGTGTCTTGGTGATAAATCTAAACATCCCTTCCAGGGACATGTTTAAACTGCTAACACAAAAAAAACTCCAGGAGCTGAAATTTTAACTCATTAAGATTTCATTCCCTTTGTTTTGGGTTTCTTTTTATGTCGTACTCTTTGATTCCTCTCTGTCATTAATATTCTCATTCATACATCTTCACTTTGTTGCTCCCTTCGATTCTCTTTCACTAAACAAAACATGGTCCCTCATACGCATGACAAATCTGCTTTTGCTTGATCTTTATCTCATCTCTTGTTTTTTTCTCCCCACTGGTTTTCCTTATTAGGTTTCTTTAAAGAACTCTACACCCATTTGAGCTTCATCTTTTTATATTTTTATGATCTAAATTACCTTGAGACAAATGAGCAACAGTGATGATGACTTTTAAATGCCACAAAAATTGCTTGAGGGCTATCACGCCAGAATGAGATGTGCACTTGTTCGCTATCAATATTACAAGGATGCCATATGCTGACTTTCTGTGATTCTGAGCACAAATGTTGCCTCCTAAGATGCCTTGGAGGAGACTCTGTAGGAATTCTGTGTCATGTGTTGCTTCTTTTTAAGTGCCTCTTTCTCGCTTCTCTCATTCCCCTTCACTTTACTCCCTTTAGGCTCTCATCTTGAAGATCACAGTCCTATTTTGCTCTGCCATGTTTAACATTCCCCACTCTCATCCTCCGTCTTGCTTTTTCTAGTCTTATGTGATAGGGGCTTGCCTCTCATTTTGTGTGCCCCTTTTATTTCTTACACACTTATTCATGCTATGTATATAAAGTTTTAAGATGGAAAGCAGAGCTGATGTTCTGCAGAAAGAATAATAAATGCTTTTAATGTTTGTCATATTTAAAGAAAAGTCTTCATGTTTTTAAACATCTCTGTCATTACATTAGCTAGAATTTTAAAGTGTATAAAAAAAAATCTGAATATCTGTCCTGTTTACTTCATTTCATCTCCCTACTGCAAACAGAAATATCTCAGTTTACAGTATGTTCTTGCAGAGCATAAACAGAAAGTAAACTTTACAGATTTCTATTCCGGAGCTCTGTTTAGCTCTGAATATTCTTGTCCATTAGCAAAACCAATCAGGAGCAACTCAGTAATCTATAGCATAGTGGTTGTATTTCCCTAATTTGGTTCAAAAGTGAAATATGGCATTACATTTACAATGGTGTTTTTAAACCTTTTGCCTTTTTTAAATTTGAGGATCAAAATTTATTGACAACCCAAAGTTCAGGCAATTTTTATTAATATCAAGGTATTTTATACTCTGCAGTTAATTCCCTGGTTTGGATTAGATGGAGGCGATCGGACTGCGGCTCTGCTCAGAGGATAAAGGAAGCCCAAGAGGCAGCGTTTAATTTAGATGCGTTGTTGACTCTTGGTTCTCTCATTATCCTTTTAATAACCCCAAATATTCTCAGGGAGGTTTAGGCCAGGCCAGTTTGGTGGCAGGTGTAAATTCCACCTGGAAAAGGAAATTGGTATCCTCATAGAGCTTTTTAAAACAAAAGGCAAGGATTAAATGCTTTAAATTGCCCCTGGTAGGCAGCTGCACTCACAATGAGATGGATAAAACAGTGTCTCCAAATATAATCACTGTGTGGAAAATGTTTCCTCTCTTTTATGTATATATTAATATTATGGAGCCTTTAATTCCAAATAAATGGAAAATACATATTTATTTGAGCTATATACAAGATACAGCTGTGTGTGGTGACTATTGAAGGAATGAAACCAGCTGTAGTAAAAGTTATAAATGTTCCTACACATTAAATTCCACAGTGTTAACATGTAAAGTTAAAGAACATTGAATCTTACAACCACTTTAGTAAGATATATACTACGTAGAGTTCTAATTTAACACTGATTCAGAGTGGGACCGAATGCACTCTTAAAGGGTTACAATAAAACTGCAAAATTTACGGTGGAGGATTCTTGATCTGGCTTCCCTTCACAATCCGCTCATGGCTACCTTTATCCCTGATACTTATGCACTCTGTTCTGTTTCCTTCCACAAAACTATACTATATAGTATTCTTGGTTTTGAAAGACTAACATCTGGATTTTTTATGCAGGATACTGTAAGCCATAACTGTTGGAATAAACAGTAATAAAAGACATCAAATATATTAATGTGTGCTCAGATTTTTTAAAGTAAATGGATAATTTTTTTTTTTTATAAACTGTAAAATTATTGAGCTGTGTTGGTACAAACAGTAGATACCAAATCTGCTCGTCAGAATATTCTGTTCTGGCTTGTTTTCTTTCATACACTCATTTTTAATGTATAAATTAATGACAGATTTTCTACTTGGATATTATTGAATCTTGCCATTGATTAACAATCAGATTAAGACACGACTTTAAGTTAGTGAAGACCAGTACTGTTTCAATAAAATCCCTCAGGAAAATGATCAATTCTGAACTGTATAAATAAATAGCATTACTACACAGTGTATTATCAGAATATCTATCTTAAATGTATTAGTCATTTTCCCTTTCAGTATTTTCTATTATTATTTCAGTTATATATGATAATTTTTTAATGATCTAATTAGAAAAATATGTATTGCCAGTTTCTGCATTTTTGTAGAATCCAACACTTTTAAGGATGTATTCATTATTTGGTACATTACCATCAAGGTTTTCAGTTTTAACTGCTAACCTACTGATATCTTTAAGCATAATATCTGAGAAAAAACTGACTAGTACAACTCCTGACATTTATAGAAGTACGCTCTTCCTCTCAACAGGAAGCACTTGTTTGTTTTGTCTAAATTGTTTTAATTTCAAGGTAAAATTATAACCTATCTACTGAGCTTCATTTAAAGAACAGCTGGATTTCTGCTGAGTTTACATCACAAACAGCTGGACTCTAATATCCAACTGGTGACCCCTAAATGTTTATGTTCACATTTATTGAACGGTGTCAGTGTAATAATAGCTGAATACATGAGCATGTAGACTTTTAATGTTTTGTTTTTATTTATTTTTTAAGTAAATTAAAGTTTGTTTTTTTTCTGGTCCACCTTAAAAGACCTGTATAGACGCCCAGTGTGTGGCTGATCATAACCTTCAAAGACAGGGTTTCTAGTCTCAGCCGAGGTCGGTCTGGTTTGGAGACCAGCAGATTCCGTCTTGGTATACCTCTGGCTTATTCCAAACGCCACAGAGACACCCAAAGGAAAGTCTGGGGGTCTCTGCTAACACTTGTTCCTCCATTACTCTGATTCTTAATAAGCAGAACCCAGAATAAGTATATGTGCATGCCACATTTTTCAGGCGTGGTGTGTAAAAAAAGAAATAAATGAAAAAAAAGTTGCTGCTCAGCTCATTCAGTTTGCATAAAACACAAAACAAACTCTTTTAAATCAATCAATCAGTCAATTAATTAAATCTTTAAATGGTAATGCAGTTCTGGTTTGACAAGATGAATACAAAGATAAAACCCTGTTGTTTAAATTGCTTTTAACCTGAAATTCAAATGCTTCATAAGTATGGAATGTTATGTAAACCGGATGGAAATGACCTGCCTGCTGATATCTTAATTATGCTAACCAACCTTTGAGGCATTCAAAAGACTCCTAACTGGTGAGTTGCAACACAGGTGCTCAGACAAAATAGACAAAGCCATGATTTGTATAATAAATTGATGGTTCTGATAAAAACTGCTTGCTCTAGATTTAATTTTGAGTTTCATTTTATAACGGGCAAAACGCACTCTAACCTTTTAAGATATTTGTTTGTAAAAAGAAAACCCATGTAAACCCATGGACCCCACCCAATACTTTTGCAGGACTTTTT